GTTTTTTAATAAAATATAGTATAAAGAACTTTTTTTTTTCTAGAATCTTAATTCTTTAGATAAAGAGTTGACTGTACTTTTTTTGTGGCTAATCTTTTATTATACTTCATCTTAGATTAATATTTTTTTCCTGTAACGACTTTTTTTAAATTGATGCGGCTAAACTCTAATTTTTAACCTACTTTGACAGTAATGAGAAGTCTTGTTGAAATAGATAAGGCACTAACTTATCTATCGTTAGATATTTAGATCCATGCTGTTAAGAAGTTAGTTAATATCATCAATGATACGTTTAAAACCCTTTTCATATTCTTATTTAGATCTTTATCGCTATGTAATTATTAAATAAATTTTGAATTATTATAAATAAAATACAAACAAATTTTAATATCTTTTTTAAACGGCTGAACGTCGCTTATTTCCACATTTAATCATTGTAATTTTCAACCTGATACTTATAAGCTAACGTGAATATTTGCTAAAGCGGCATAGGTAGGCTCGATATATTCATACTTAAATTTTAATTTGATGGTTTCTTGCAATTAACGAAATAATAGCTCTTTCACATTATTAAAAACGTGTCTGTAACAAGTTTTGCATCTTTCTTTTTTTAGAAAAAAGAGCAAGCACTAAGCTACGTAACGCTACGTAACGCTACGTAATGACAATCACGATTATTATCAGTTATGTAATATTTAACATAATTCCGAATATACTTATCATTTCGACCTTTCCTGACGACCATCTGATCCCAGCCTGGTACACATCTTCAAAGAAAAGATCGGAGGATGCCTGCTTGTTGTGTATTCGTTGTACATGGAGTTTGCTTCTTCTATACCATTCTATACAAAAGTAACAAAAGTAAAAATTCAATTAGTAATATTTTTTTAGTGAACAAGCTCAAATAAAAAGAAAGACTTAGTCTGGTGCAGGATCGGAGTTTTTGTTGTAATATAAAGGAAGACGCATAACAATTCCTTATGCAGTAAAGATTGTAATATTAAATTATCCGGTTATCCGAGGTTATGGTCCGACTAATAGTCACACAAGCAAGCTCAATAATTAAACTTTAAGTCGTGATATATTGAGATATATGTTTCAAAATATTGTAAAGTCAGAACATTTCAAGCTTTGTATCAAAAAGTTTTTTAACCTTTCACGTATTTTGAATTTGTTCATTTTACATTGAAAAACCTGGTTACCGGTAATCATAATTTATCCCTGATGCAAAATATTTATTTTTGATGCTTATGTACCTACTTTATTGCTATGTATATCCAATAAGATTGCATATTATTATAATAAAATTTATAGAAATTTTAAGATATGTTTAGGTGTATCAAAAAGTAGATGCAAAAGTATCAAAAATATAGTAAATACTTTGCATTTCTGATCTGTTTGGCCCGTGGCAAGATGATTTTTGACCTGTGATCCTTACTGGTTAGTCCAACCCAGATAACAGCTCTAAAAACACCTATAAACAAATTATGTAAAGAGATATTACCATAAATTACTATGCAAGTTATCCGGATATTTTACATTCTACATACTAATAAATCATGATTTATACTCCGAGTATATTGTATGGCGGGGGTATATTATCTGTAAAGTGTATATTAGTTTATTATAAAAAAAAATTTTTATTATTAAATTAACCATTGATTTATACTGGGTCACTTACAAAACTATACAACAAATAACTTTGAAACATACCTGGCACAAGTCAAGAGGGTACGTATAAACTGAGAAGGCTACCTTTTATGGTAATTTACAGTACAGATATATGGGATATATTAGTACCCTTATGTTAAGAAGATTCTGAGCTGCTGATCCAAAAAATATGAACCCATAGTAGCTCAAAAATTCCCCATGCATTCTATATACAATAAAAAAATTAGTTTATATATAATTAAAATTTCATGCTTAAGGGTACCCAGGATATATGGTATACATTCAGAAACGCCAAAAATTATGGATCCATTATTTTCCATAATGATGAAGAAAAATCCATAATTTTGGGGTTATCCATAAAAAACCAAAATTTTAGAAATTTTTATGCACGATTTTAGCAGTTTGATTGGTTACAGATCACGTTGTCTGTTAATTCCTATTAATCTGATTGGCTGTGTTCATAAAATTCAAAATTTTGAAAACTTCGGGATGATGAAATTTTGGACAATAATTCAAAATCATGTGAACTGGTCCGAATTATTAAATTTAATTTCTTAATGCCGGCCAAATCCAAAAATTTACAAAATTTTTACGTTATCCAAAAAAAAAAACCACCTTTAATACAAAAAAAAATTGGTAAGATCATGTGGTAATGAACACAATTTAAAAAATTATTTATATAGGTAATCTAAATGTTACTAGGGATTGGAACCGTTCAGCCGTTATAAAATTTATGAACAGTTAAAAATAATAAACTATTAGATTTTATTTTTTAAGGCTACATATCAATAAATATCAAATATTATTGTGCAGCCATGTTATTGACGACCGCACTAAAAATTCTCTTATTTGTACAGTTTACGTCATTACTGTTTTAACGCCTTTTTTTATGGCTTAAATTTTAACGACGGTCACATGCTAAAAAAAGGGGAGATGTAAGAATTGATGACATAAACTATACAAATGAAAAAAAAATAGTGTAGTCGTCAATAACCACTTCACAATAATGCATATACGTATCGTACGTATATTAGTTTTTTTTGTATATTACATACCTGATACTAATCGTTTCTGGATTCTATGTATTAAATTTTTATTGTATTTTTATATAGAGCATGATTAGAAGTAAATTGTTATTATTATAACTCACCATAATTATAACCGTTGAGGTATAATGTCTCATCTTAAACTAGAATTCGGATTTTAGTGTTAATATGTAGTGATCCAAATCGTTAGTTGAAAAATCAACTAGTTGACAACTTTTCAACTAATCGATTTAAAAAATCTGAAAACAACTAATCGATTGACTATCAACTAAACCAACTACAACTAATTGCTAGTTGTCAACTAGTTGTCAACCAACTATTATCTATATAAATCAACTAAATAACTTATTACGTGGAATCGGACATTGTACATAACGATAATGTAACTTGTTACATTAATAGCAATTACGTAGCAATATTACACAAACTACTTGGAATGTACAAATATGTGTAATAATTGTTGAAACCGTGTGATACTGTTCTTTACATGTTTTAGAACGTCTCCAATAGTTTGAGTAACATCGTTACCAGTAAATAGTGAGCATTAGAATATATCAGTAAATCAATGAGTCAATTTATGAAGTTAATTTACGCCGCATAGAGTTTATTATGTATTTACGCCGCATAGAGTTTATTATATATTTACACCGCATAGAGTTTATATATTTACGCCGAAGAGTTTATTTATACTACATATGATTTCTCACGATGGTATAAAAGGATAAAAGTTTTTTTTTTATTTTTTTTCAATCGAAAACAAATGAATTTTTTTAAAAAGCTGGTTATAAAGGTGCTGTTAGTAAAAGAAAGATAATACGAACACGCAGTATTTCAAAATCAACCTCCATTCTTGTGCAAGATTAAACTAATTATATGTATAAATTAGTAAATCCTATAATGCAGTGAATGATAAAATCAATTTACTTACGTAGCAAATATCAAATGCAATTTAAAATGAAACAACGAAAAAATTTTAAGTCAGGATTTTATTCTGTATAGAACTCGTTTTTTTTTCGGTGTTAAACTTTTATAATATGTAAGTATATTTAACGCCAAAGTTTAGTATAAAAAGGCAATATATTATTAACGTCTCGTAAAGGAATCATAATGAATATTTCTGACGAATTTAATTCTTTAACCGATAAAGATGAAGAGAGTGATAATAGTGATGTCGAATTATTAGCTTCTACATCTCAAACTTCATCTACTCCAAATTTAAACGTTAAAAAAAAAAAAAAAAAAAAATCGGGAAGCTTTGTTTGGGACTTTTTTGAAAAATATATAGATAATCAAGATGAACAAGCTGAAAAAGTTCGATGCTCATTTGAAGGATGCGATACAGAATATTTGTGGAAAGGATCCACTACCAATTTAATAAACCACCTTCGTGATGTACATCAAATTACCAAGGAGTCACTTAAGAATAAATCATTAAAAGTTAAACAACAAACGATTCAGCAAGTAATTTTAAGACCCTACTCTTCTCATATTCAAAAAAAACTCTCGTATAAACTTGTGCGTTATATAATATCACGTGCTGAGCCCATTTATATTGTTGAAGATAATGATTTTAGGCTTTGGGTAAAAAGTCTTGATTCTCGGTTTGAAGTACCATGTGTTAGTACAATCAAAACCATTATATTTAACTCCTACAAATCCGCAATAGAACAGATTATGGATCTTATCTCAAAAACGTCAGATACAGTTTCTTTAACCTTTGATATCTGGACGTCACGGGCGCACGATAGCTATCTTGGGATTACTTGCCACTGGCTCACAGATTCGTTTGAGTTGCACGAGGTCGTACTTGATATGGGAGAATTGGACGAACATTGTGCATCTGATATTATTGAGTCGGTTAATTTGGTTCTTAATAAATTTAATATTGATCATCAAAAGATCTTTTCTATTACTACAGACAACGGTTCGAATGTCAAATCCGCAGTGCAACAATTGGGTATTACTAATGTAAAATGCGCTGGACATACGCTTCAATTAAGTGTTAATTTAGGTTTAAAGGAAATTGATAATCTTATTTCAAAATGTAAATCACTTATCTCAATTTTGTCAAAAGAAAAAAAACGTAAGCAGCTTCGTGAAGCTCAATTACAAATTACCCCAGGGTTAAAAGAACCTTTAGATGTTATTAAAGATGTGGACACACGTTGGAATTCTACCTTTCATGCTATTGAACGTCTTGTGCATTTAAAACCTGCCATTATACAATTATATTCAACTCTTACTAATCATACTATTAGAGAAATTAGAAAAGGAGCAGAAACTATGAGTTCTTTTATTCCGTCTACAGAAGAATTTAAATTATTAGAAGAACTTATCGAAATTCTTTTTCCTTTTGATGAAGCAACACAATTCTTAAGTGGATCCAAATACCCAACCCTTGGGTTTATGACCCCAATTTTGGAAGAACTTGCTCGTCGGCTCAGGTACTTTACGGGACAAAATGATAGGTCAATCCTTGTTAAAGATACAATATTGAATAATTTAATTGAACGGTGGGGAGATCCAAGTGAAATTGGCATGTGCTGCTCCTTTCTCGATCCAAGATTTAAAAAATTAAACTTTTGCACTGGTGCTTTACGTCACACAACCATTCAGAATATGCGTCGCCAATTTAATGAACTTTGTCCAACACCAACCACTGATGTTAATACAACAAACACTAACGACAATAATTTGACTTCAACATCTTTGCATCAACGTAAAAAGTCCAAAATATCAACATTTTTTACGCATTTACGAACAGAAAACTCTAACGTTGAGTCTAATGAATTTGACCGGTATTGTCAAATACCTGAAATTTCTCTTGATGACGAGTCTTGTCCCCTAGAATGGTGGCGTAAACACAAAACCCTCTTTCCTACCATGGCAATTTTGGCGAGGCGATACCTTGCGGTTCCGGCTTCCTCCGTACCATCAGAACGTTTATTTTCGGACGCTGGAAATCACGTAACAGATAAGCGTAATAGACTTAATCCAGATTTATTAAATCAATTGGTATTTCTCAAAAAAAATATGAATTGCATTAACATTTTTGCTTCACTTGATTAAAAACCACGGTTTTTTATGTACTGAACATTATTAAATCCGTGTAATGAACACTTTATTAAATAAATAAAAAATTATATATTTTATCATTTAACAAAATTTAAATTTGTATTTAAAATTTTCATATTAAATTTTTATCAGCTCAAACTTACAATATTCACTATTAAGCAGCACTTTATTGGATTTAATTTTGTAAGTGTTATATTCATATGTTGGTTTATTTAAATTTTAAATTCAAGCTTAATATGTATTTATTTTAAAGCAGCGCCTCTCAAGTTGTTAAAGTTTATTAGCATGATGAACGATTATATAATTCTTTAAGCAGTATTTTCTTTAAGCAGTACTTTCTGGTTACTTATTTCTGTGATTTAGTTGTTAGTGAGTATGAAATTATTTACTATTTCATTTAGCTTTGTGACTTACATTTACTTTTGATCAATATTTTTTCAGGTTATTTACATGAAGTTTAGTGGATATAATTGCTTTTTTTAAGACCCGTTCAAGCTTATAAGTATTTGCCTTAAATAGCATCTCCCAGGTTGTTTAATTTTGTGGTAAATTGTGCGTACAAAAACATTATTACTTTTTTTAATCTGCAATTTAAACATATATGTATTTATTTATAAACGGCACTTTAGCCTTTTAGTTCACATTGGTTTTGGTCTGTCAAAAAAGAAGCTCACATAGTATATTTAAATTTAGGCGAATTCAAATTGATAACTATTTTATTTAAACTTTATTAAGAATACAAGTATTTACCTTTAAGCGAAGTTGCCTGATCATTAGTGTTATACTAATCTAATGGGTATAAAGATTATTTACTACTCTATTGAAAATTTGCGATTCAAGTTTTTAAGTATTTCATTGGAATAGCGCTTCCTGGCCGTTTATTTCGCATGAATTTTGTGAGTATAGGAATAATCATTTATTATTATATTAACATGTGTGATTTAAATTTATAAACATTTATCTTAAACAGCGCCTTCCGAGTATTTTACTTCACGTTATCTTGGTGTGCGATGAGATCATTCTATTATTCTATTTTTGAGCTTTGTGAATCAAGCTTATAACCATTTTTCTTTGATAGTGTACTCCCCGTTGTCAGATTTGCATTATGTTAGTGAGTATGAATATCAATTCATTATTCAATTTAAATATACAACTCAAGCTTTGAGGTTCTTACTTTTAATAGTGTCTTCCGGGTTATTTAATCCGCATTAGCTTGGTAGGCGTAAATTTAATTGTTGCAGTTGATGCTGGAAATCGGTTTCTATTTGAATATATAAACCTTAATTAAACTACTCTTGTTAGCATTCATCGAATTTCCAGCGGCAATTATGATATGAGTGCCACCAAGGGAAAAGGGCACCTCATCAATTTAAGTTTATTATTGACTAATTATCGAGTTCAGCAATGATGTAGATCGGGTTATATTAACATTATTGAAAGCCCGATCTGCATCGTTGCTGAACTCAATAATTAATCAGTAATATACTTAAATTGCCGAGGTGCTCTTTTTCCTTGGCGACACTCATATTTGTTATTCTATTTGAAACTTAAATTACACGAGCTAATAAGTTTTACTTTTGAATAGTGCTTTCGGGGATCTTTAATTCATCTTAGTTTGGTGAGTATAAAAACCGTTTTAACTGTAGTCATGTCCCCTAAGTGCAGGTACTATATAAAACCTCATGCAAACCTTTTTTAAATGCAAATTTTTGATTTTTTTTACTACGAATCCGATAGGATGCATTTAGGGGTGTGACTGTATTTCAGATAAAATTATGATTTGGTTTATTTAGCGTCTTTTATTAAATAGTTCTTTCGGAGTCGTTTAATTCGCTCGACTTTTGTGGGTGTATTTTCTTATTCCGCTTGAATTGTACTTGTACACTGATAATGAAGTTGAAGAATTGAATTAAAAGTATGAGAGCGTTCATATTTTGGCTTAAATCCGTGATCAGTTTGAACTTATTTGGATATTTATTGTTGAAAATTATTCGAATACAGGTAAACCGATTCGAAGAAATGACTATTAGCTCTTGAAATTTTTAAACTATTTTAAGTTGGAAAAATATTTCAGGATTTTAAATGAACCTAGATTTGATCTTTAATATATAAAAATTCTTTAAAAGAAAAATAAATTCTAGATCATAAATTCTAGATCATTTAGTTAGCGGGCATATAAATGTACGGCTTGCTAAAAGGGTATTTTTCATTTAAATTATTAAGTAAAAAAATCAATTTGAAATGTAATACAACTCATACTCGTTATAATGAATGCTCGATATAGTGAAAATCTGAGTGAAAATTTTGAATTACTATAGCGAAAACTTTTAATCAATAATTTCGTTATAATAAGTTGTAAATTGTTTATACTATAAAAAGCGGGAGTCTTTGTAAATCAATTGAAAGTACTATAAAAGGTATATTCTGCGATATTATCTATAAGAGCAAAGTTTATCTTATATAAAATTATTTCAGTGTTCTTGTAAAACTTTTGCAAGAACTTATTAAGTTGTAAAAAATTAC